TGGCATCCCATATAATCCCACAGGCCAGGCTGTGGTAGCTCGTGCCCATGCAACTCTCAAAGCATTATTAATAAAACAAAAAGGGGGAGTAGGAGCCACCCTATATTCCAATAATCCTAAACATTAATTGGCTTTAGTTACTTATATTTTCAAATTTTTGATTTTGGATTTGGATGGCCATTCTGATGCTGAATGCCATGCTGTTGGTGCAGGCCGCTGCAAAGATTGGGTGATGTGGAAGGATGTTTTAACAAAACAATGGATGGGCCCGCATCCTGTCTTATGACCGACGCGAAGAGCGGTTTGTGTATTTCCACAGGATTCTGATGGACTAGTGTGGGTGCCAGAACATTTGACACGAGTGATAAGAAAGCCGGAGTAAGATGAACCTGTGGACGTGGTGGATGCTGACCAGCCTGATGTTCATTCAGATACCGAGAGGAGACAGCCAGAATCTCCAGATAAAACTGCACCATAAAAGGTGTGCAGTAAATATTGTCTCACTGTCTAGGGCCTTGGAAATGGCCCCCAGAATGGACTGCTGTTGACGTACTGTGACTCCTAGAAGAGTAGCACCTGATCTTGCTGTGACCAATTGATTTCCTACCTGTTCAAATTCTGCCTTTGTGGGGTATAACTATACATGTGGTAACCTTGTTCAATCTGTTTCTGCTAAGTCTTGGAATGTCTGGGTACTTTGCACTAGTAGGGGTGGGTGTTCAGATATATCAGCTTTTGCATTTATTGATAAGGTAGTGATAAGAAATTGTAAGTATAATAGTAATAGTTCTAGAATATGGGAAGAAAATGTTAAAGCTAATTGCAGTTGTGATGTTATCTATAATGCTATTTATGTATATGCACAAGCTCCATTTATGTTTATTGTTTCCATGAGTGCTAATGCTACCCTTTTGAATTGCTCTGTAGTTAAGTGAGGCCTTAACCAATGTTGGAATGGCTCTGACACTGCAGTGCTTGTACGCATTCCACACTCATTTCCATCATATAGGGACCTCCTGTGTGCTTAGTCTACCTGGAATGTGTGTCACTCCCTTCATTGTCACCAATGGTTCCTGAGCATTGAATTTGTCCAGAGAGTTATCCGCTATGCTATCACCTAGTGGAAGCTGGTCCATAGGATTCAATAATTTGACAAAGGACTAAGATCCCAAATTATAGCCATAAATAGCAGCAAAGTAGAGATTGCTACGGTAGAGCAATGGACAAATTGGATACTAAAGGATTTTTCCTTTGCACACCAATGTGCCAGTATAATAGCCTTGGGTCTTATCTTACTAATTGTCATTCTTTGGGGTCTGTGGATGCTTCATCCTTGAGCACAGCATCAGCAGCCGTAATAGCAGCTGTTAGTGCAAGCTGTGCTTGCCCTTCACAACAGAGAATCTCCAAAAGTCTGGCTAGGCATACTGGACCGGTAGCCAGAGACGGGTAAATATCCGATAGGGCTTCACCAACCTAAGACAGGTGCCACATTGCTAGCGACGTGGTTAGCCCATGACAGGTTAGGGGAGCCCGAACTTGGAACACCTAAGACAGGCACAGTCCCTTGCTTAATAAAACAAGAAGGGGGAGCTGTTGGGGGCACTAACCATTTCCTGCCCTGTGATTGGCCCATTGCCCTGATTGGTGTGCCTTGGTTATCTTTAAGCTGATTGCTCAGGTTTGACAGATAAGCAGGGGGCTTGGCAGGGGTAGGGGCTGGAGTGTAATGGTCCTAACTGTCATAACGGTCATAACGGAGTTTACGGTCACAGCGGAGTTAACGGTCACAACGGAAGATCGGAATAAAGCTCCTTGGAGACTCTCTCAAGTGTCAGGTGATTTCTTACGTGGGATGGGAAGACCCCCAATAGTATCTTATTGTGATTGATATTAAGGATTGCCTTTTTTCTATACCTCTACGTCCACAAGATTCAAAAAAAGAGTGTTTTGTCTCTCTCTGTGTGTGTGTGTGTGTGTGTGTGTGTGTGTGTGTGTGTGTGTTATTCAGCATAACTGGCATTTTCCTAATCTAGGTCACTGATTGAACATAGATATCATTCAGAGACCGGCAAGTAATTCATCTTAGGAATTGCAAAGTTTCCCTTTGTCTTTGCAAATGAAATGAAGTTCTTCACACAATGAACAACAACTTCAAGATTTTGCCTCTTGTAAACATGCCCCACACATGATACTCACAGAAATTCCCATGAATGACAAAAAGGAATATCAACAACCAAAGCAAAAGGCAAATGTGGAGAACATCTCACTAAAAGGCTAACAGAAGACTCGATCAAAGTACAACCCAACGCTGAAATGACAGGGCTAAACTGCCACTTACTCACAATAACTCTGAACTTAAATGGCTTAAACTCATCAGTCAAATGCCATACAGGAGGACCAGGTAAAACCAAAATCCATCAATCTGCTGCTAAGAAGAGACACATCTCACCAACAAAGATCAGAGGCAATGGAACTGAAGTGATGGAAAGAGAAATTGCAAGTGAATTGTAAGCAAAAACGTGCAGGACTAAACATTCTTTTATCAGATGACATAGGTTTTGATGTAAAGAACATCAAAGAGATGAAGATGGACACCACATAATGATCCAAGGATCCATTCAGAAAGATCATCATAATAAATGTATACGTGCCTAATGCCGGAGCATCCAGCTGTGTGAAACAAATATTAATGGCTCTGATGGGAGAAACAGACAAAAATATGATCATATTGGGGGATCTTATTGCCCAATTCACATCAAAGGACAGATCAAAGAGACAGAAACTAAGCAAAGAAATAACAGAACTCACAAAACTCTACAGCAAATGCATTTGTTTACATCTATCAAGCAGTTAATCATACAGACAGAGAATACATTTTTTCTTTAAAATCAGAGCATTGGAATCTTATTCAGAACTGACCATCTTATAGGCCACAAATTAAGCTCAACAAATTTTAAAACTTAAAATTATACTAAGCAACTTCTCAGACCATCATTGACTGAAGCTAGAAACCAAGAAGTCCAAAACACCAAGGAAGACTTGAAAACACATGGAGACTAAATCATGTTATTAAATGAGTAACTAGAAAAACATGAAGTAAATTGGCCAGCACTATAGTTGAAGGAGAAGGAAAAACAAGAGCAGTGCACTCCTAAGATTAGAAGCCAAAGGAAATCATCAAAACAAGAGAGAAAATAAACGGAATAGAGATAAAAGATCTATACATAAGGTCAATGAATCGAAGAGCTGGTTCTTTGAGAAAATTAACAGAACAGACTCCCCACTAGCCCATCACAAAATATTACAAGCAACTATCTGCAGCAAACCAGATGACCAAAAAGAGATGGATAGATCTTTGGACACATACAATCCACCACAATTGAATCTAGAAGCAATTAATCTAAATGGGCCTATTATTAGCAATGATTTTACGTCAGCAATTAAAGCCCTCCCAATCAAGGAAAGTCCCACGCCAGATGGCTTCACTGCTGAATTCTAGCACACATTTCAAGAGGAATTTACCCCAATCCTTCACAAAATTTTCCAAGAAGTAGAAACTGAAGCAGTTCTTCCAAACACTTTCTATGAAGCCAATATAACTTTAGCACCAAAGCCACAGAGAAACAACACAAAAACAGAACTACAAACCGATATTCTTGGAGAACATAGATTCAAAGATCCTCAGCAAAATACTAGCCAACCGGAAAAGCAGCGCATCAGGCAGAGCATTCAGCTGGACCAGGTGGGTTACATCCATGTACTGCAGAGATGCAGGGATGATTCAGCATCAGCCAATCATGGAATGTGATACATCACATCAACAAATTAAAAATAAATACCATATGACCCTCTCAACATGCAAAGAAGTCAGGCATAGAAGGAACATTCCACAATACAATCAAAGCAATTCATGAACAACCCAATATACCAGCATCATAATAATGGGCAAAGATTGAAAACCTACCCAGTAACACCAGGAACTAGAAAGGGATGCCCAGTGTCACCACTGATTTTCACTACAGTATTGGAATCCCTTGCCAGAGCCACGAAGCAAGCAGAAAAGAATTAAATCAATCCAAATTTGAACTGAGAAAATGAAATTATCGCTACTGGCAGACTGCATGATTCTCTACCTAGGAGACCAAAGGATTAATCCAAGAGTCTTTTGGACTCAGAAGAGACTTTGGCAGAGTAGCAGGATAAAGAATGAGTGAGCACAAGTCAATGACACTGGTGTACACAAACAATCCTAAGGCTGAGAAAGGAATTTTTAGTAGAGTAAGTTTTAACATAGAAGAGTGGAATCTTCAATACCTAGGAATTAAGCTACGTAAATACAAACACCAGAATGGAGTCCACACATGTAGGGTCAACTAATCTTTGACAAGAAAGCTGGAAACTATCCAAGCAAAATCTGGATCTATTCAGCAAGTGCTGTTCGGATAACTGTTTAGCAGCTGCAGAAGTAAGAAGCCAGAAACACAACTGTCCAACTATAAAAATTGGCTCTAAATGGATCAACGACCAAAATCTACACCCAGAAACAATCAAACTTTTCAAGAAAATATTAGGAAGCATACTCGAAGATGTAGCAACAAGGCAAGATTTCTTAGAAATGTTGAAAAAGCACAGGCAACCAACGCCAAAGTGAACAAATGGGATGTGATCAAACTAAAAAGCTTCTTCTGTGCACTAAAGGAAACTAATGAAGAAGGAAGGGGGTAAACAACAGACACAGAGAAAACACTTACACAACCCACAAATGAATAAGAACTAATATGCAGGATTTGCAAAGAGATACAGAATCCCACTGTCAATAAAAAACAAATAAACAACCTGTGAAGTAAAGGGCAAAGGATTCTGCAGACCATTTTTTCAGAAGATCAGATTCAAAGCAAAAGATGCTCAGGCTCCCAAGCCATCACAGAGACACACTTTAAAACCATGTTGAAGTACTGCTTAACTTCAGTGAGGCTGGCCTACATTCAGATCTCCAGTTACAACCTAATGGCAAAGATGTTCGAAGAATGGTAGCCTCCTTCACTGTGGGTAGAAGTTCGCCTAATATAAACACTATGGAAATTAGTATGGAGAATGGTTGGAGAATTGCAAACAAACCTGCCGTATGATACAGCTCTCCTGCTCCTAGAAATGTACCCAATAGAAAAGAAATCTGCATATGCGAAGGGGATCTCTAAGCCTATATTTGCAGCAGCACAATCTACAATAGCAAAGACATGGAAACAATCCAGATGTGCTCCCATAGAAGAATGCTTGAAGAAAGTGTATTACTTATTCTCCATGGAATAATACTATCTATTAAGAAGAACAAACTTATGCCATGGATAAGCAGGTGGTCCCAAAGAGAATCCATTATGCTCAATAAAATGTGTCAATCACAAAACAGCAAATACATATGTTCTCTCTAATATAAGGAAACCATTGTGGAAATTGTAATTTCCATAACCTGCTCTGGCTTGTAATGTTCACCAGCCCATACAAAGCCAAATGGAAGGCCACATTTGCCAAGTCCTGGAATAAAACACAATGGCATGTTTGAGAACTGGGTCAGGGAGAGGATCAAGTGGAGGAAGTTGGGAAACTCCCCTGGCAAATCAAAGTTTTCACTGGTGAATATGTGGTCCAGACCTGGAGGTCAGACAAGCTGGGCAAAATAGCTCTAACAGCTGGCTAATTTGTCAATTGGTAATGGAAAGGGGTTTGCTGTGAAGAAGTGGGCAGTCCACACTGGCTTATGTGAGGGCTGAGTATTTGCTGGACAGTACCAGGCTGGACTGCAAAATCCATTGGTTCCAGTGGGTGTCAGGGCTGAAAACAGAAGCAACCCAGGAATTGCAACCACCAGCTATCAGGGCGATGGAATGTGCCAGGCGCTGTACTTGCCAGTACATACAAGAATTTAGACTGCAAACACCTCAGACCTTGAACTTATCTTTGTGGATCTCCACAATCAAAATGCCAGACTCAGAACCCTAACCAAGACAAGACAGAAGACAGAACACATCAATCAACCAATGCAGCTATATTTTGGCAGCAAACTACTGGCCAACAGAGACTATGATGGACTAAGTCATTCAGTGGAGTCTTCAACAACCTCATTGTGTTTGGAGTGGTGAGACTGGCAGCGCTTCAGAACTGATCAACTATCAAAACCACTTGAGTGAGAATCTCAGAGTGTGCCTCACATCAAGGACCTGGGGTGGAGGGGGTAACTGGGTGAGGATTCTCCCACAATATTGCCCATTACCTCAGATACATGAAGGAAACAATGTGCAAATCATAGTCTTACGCACGTTCCTATAGCCGTTGAACCTTTTTACCCTAATTAACTATATAAGTTGTGAAAAATATAAAGAAAAATGAAAAAAAATATGTAAAATGTATGTTCTGGGATATTTTTGTGCACAAAGTATTTAAAAGCTAAAATAACTAAATAAAAACATAGATCAAAGTTTCCCAGGAGTCAAAGACATTAAAAAAATGGGTCAGTATTAGGTCACATTGTTTCAAGTCACTACTATGATAATATTAAAGCATATAATGACTAGATTGAGATCTGGCTTCCCCTTATCCTATTCCCTGGTCTTTTAATGTACCCAGGATATGAGTACAAAACAGTTAAACTGCTGAAATACATGAGCTCCTGGTTTTAGCCAGAGATAGACTTCACAAATTTAGATTAAAAAAAAATAGTGTAAACAGTACATATAATATGATATAATATAATATGATATAATATAACATAACATAACAAAAATAACATAATATAATATCTTTACATACATATATATATATATATACACATCAAATCATAAATACAAAGAGGATAAGAGACAGAGAGGAAATCTGTCTGTCTTTTGATTCACTCCCAAGTGACCACAATAGGCCAAGAGATTTCAATCTAAAAATTACCGTCAGGAACTTCTTCCTGGTCCCCATTGTGGCTATAGCACCACAAGGATTGAGGTTGTCCTCAACTGCTTCTCCAGGCCACAAGCAGGAAGCTGGAAGGCAAGTGGATCAGTCAGGACATGAAGTGATGCTCATATTTGATCTCAGCATGTCCAAGGTGAGGACTTTAGCCACTAGGCTGCCGTGCTAGGCCCTCCTGCAGCCTTTGTGGTTAAAACAGTAACTGGTGATCTCTCCTGCTCTCTCTCTCTCTCTCTCTTTCTCTCTCTCTCCCTGTGCTTGAGTCTCTCTATAACTCTTCCCTTCTTTTGAGAAGTAAGTCTTTGTTTTTGCTAAATTGAAATCACATTTGAATTGGGCTTTTCCAGCTGTTACTTTCCATTTGACTCCTTAGAGTTGAATGACAAATATTCCCCAGGTGACTCCTTTACTTATTTTAAAAGCAACAGTGCTACTTACCTCTCACTGTTTTCAGTTCTTCCTTTTTCTTCCCTTCTTTTTCTTTCCAATGCTTCCTTTGATACTCATGCTTCCTTCCATACTCATCCCCATACCATATTTGAAGTTCACAGCCTGGTTTGATGACTTGGCAGGTGTGGTAAAATATCCATCTGTGGTATTGGAAGGCCACCAAATTCTGCTCCTCATCATTCCGGGCACAGTTCACATACCTAGGGCAGAGATAAATGCTGAGTTCCCATGTGCTGTTACACTTGAATCTCATCTGTTCTCTGATAGCCTCTATCTTGCTTGTAGCCCAATTCTGTAAAAGCTCTCTTGCAAACATGTATCTCTCTTGTGAGATCAATGAAGTCCCACATCCAATGTGCAGATACTGTATTTGTTCTGACAAGCATGCTTTGCTACTTCCTTTCCTCACTAGTCATCCTCAAAACCCTAGTCGACCTTTCTCCTTGACCGGCCATGAAGCACACAGAGTTTCCCTAAACCCCAAACTTCATTCAGTTTTATGCCACACAATATGGTTAATGTACACTGGCTAGCTCTAGCCTACCACACATGCTGCACAACTCAGATTTTCCAAAGGCAATTCTTTGAAGTCCTTTCTCTTGGATCTTTCTCCTGCATCCTGGGAGTTATTTTAGCCTCTCCCAGAACTGCTCACAGAAACAATTATCCAGATGCAGCTTCCTTCTCTCATCCACATCTCCAGTTTTGTTTTGTTTAGTTGGTAAAGATTATTATGATTATTTTCTATTTGAGTGGCAGAGACACAAAGAAGAGAAGGGGCAGAAGACAGAGATACCAAGAAAAAGCATGGAGTGGAGAGATAAAAAGGACACAGTGTCAGGCAGTAGCTTCAACCAGGTCTTCTAAGTTGGCGCCAAAGACAAAGCATGAGGACATCCTCTGAAGGTCCTCAGGGTGCATGGGGAAGCAACTGGTTTGGCAGTAGGGCAACCGGTAATTGTAATGTAGGCACACCAGTCCTTACATTAGCCCACTGCATGACAATGCTTGTCCCAGAACCTGGCTCTCTTCTCTCTTTCTTTTTTTTTTTTTTCCACTGTGCCTGGTATGGTTTATGTCTCATAAATTAAAGGCCTTCTGTATCAAGTTGTTTGGACAGTGTATAATTTTCAAAAGACTAAAAACCTTTGCTGTCAGGACACCAATTTAATGCAATGTCCATAACCAATGATAATTATAGAGAGAATGAGTCAATACCCCAGTTAATCTAGATTCATCAAGGCCCATTTTCATGTCCATTTATTCAACATATTATTTTATGTTATGCTAAAAATTGTATTTATAGAGAATGTGCTTTTACAAACCGGTCATGGTATTCAAAGGTCATTCAAATAGACATCAAAGAGGACATATCATGTAAAAGTCATTGAGGAAAGTAGAGGAGAAAGGACAGTGATCTTGTCTTAGAGATAAATGTCATCTCCACATGTAAAAAGCATGGCTCTTACCTCATCCAGTTGGCCAAAGAAGTATCCTTACCATCCATGTACTCATAGCTGTTTCTCCTCTTGGCTATTTGAGTTTCAGAAAAATCAGTTAATATGTTTCTGGAAAGGGAATAATTCAGCAGAATTATTAACTCAACCACCATCATGTTCTATGACATCCCATGAGTCCAACCACATCTTGAGACATAACATAGTGTTAGTATACACCTAATCTGATTTGTTTCCTTACAGTAGAAGCCCACAGCTGAGATCGAACTGCTTTGCTTTTACAGCCCAGTGATCTCATCAATGCTAATCTTCAGTAAGGATTCTGTGATGTAATCATGTTGGCTCCACTCATGCCATAAAGTGTAGAAGGACACATGAACCGGACACATGGACCAAACTCACAGCAGGCAGGTGGAAAGCCACCAGACTGGAAAGGTACTTCTTACCTGCCAGCTGTACCCTCTGTTGGATTCCTGTTTCACTTCTGTGATCTTGCCCTCAAAAGGACCAAAGTGCAACCCCAGTGGCAGATCAGATGCTTCATTAAACACTCCAAGCCCAGCCTCAGAAATGCTGGATGGGCCAATTCTAAGTCCAGTGGGCACACTGAGGAAAGCCGGACTAGGATGTCCCTTATTCACTGGGTTGTCCTTTAGGAACACTGGGGGTCCATGAGCAGCACAGCTTTTCAGGAAGAACTTCTGACACTTCTCACAATCTGGAGATGAGAGTGGAAGGGATTAGGAAAGGATACCAAACAGTACTGGGTATAGAGAGCAACAGAAGCAGCCAACTACGCACATCACTCAGCCTCGATCTTGCAACCAAAGTTACCAGACGACAGAATGATAGAAGACAAAATTACAAGTGGAATTTGATTTCAGGCTATAGGATTTCTCTTTGTGGATGTGCTAAAGGGTCACTTACACAGGTAATCATCATCCTCTGTGGTGCTCGGGGTAAAGAGGTCACTAAGTCAATAAGAATGCGACTAACACTCCAGGGACTAGTGGGCAAGATGGTGGCCAAGAGAGAACCCTGCATATGAATCAGGACAGGAGTCAAGTAGCTTCAAGGAAATGCTGATCAACCATGGCCATCTCAGTCACACACCATTGGATTATGGGAGGTGGCTTCTACAGTCATTCTCCTAGTAATTGGTTCCTAGTTTCTCTCCTCCTGGAATTCCCCAAATTCCAGGCCTAATGTTATCCCTTACCCTATATAGGGAATTGAATTTCCCCTATAAATCGGCACTGCTTAGACAGAAGCCCTGTCCTTTCCTTTGCCTTTCACAGGCCAGGTGACTGGATGGTGGGCAGCAGGTTCATCCCTTCCAGCAACAGGGTACTAAAGGAATCTGTGGGTGAGGCACTTCAGAACATTCACCCAGCATGGATCATGAAGGCTGGACCTTCTCACCCCCTCACTGCGTGGCTTTGAAAGAGAAGCAAGGAATGGCTGTAAATTGCTTCAGAGCAGTGTCTTACCAGAGAAGCACATTGTCAGGGAAGTGGTGGAACTTCAGGTGAGCCTCAAAGAAAAGAAGGCGACCTAAGGTACAGTATTCCTCCTCTCAAACAGGAGTGTATCCTGCAGAAGTGACCCTAGGCACCCCACAGCTCTGTACAATCATGGGCAGCACCCAACCGTGGTATAGCTATGGTCAAATCCCCTGAGAGGTTGTAAGGGAAGGGAGGTGTTAGGTGCCCAATTGGCTTCTTTCCTATTCTCTCTTCTTTGGCAGTGAGAGATGGCCATGGATGCCTGAATCTAGGGTGAACCTGTTTGAGAACTGACAGTTTCTGGCCAAAGCAACACTTTGGCATTACCTGAAACTCTGCTGGGGATCCCCTGGGCCAGACAGCCCGACTGGGTATCCTAGTGCCTCTCTTATCTCTCATCTTCTGCTTTAGGGACAGCTGTGGATGCTTGGCTCTGGGGTGATCCTGTCTGAGGACTAACCATTTCTGGCTGAGGCAAAGGTTCGGTGTCACCTGGAACTCTGTATTGGATTGCCTGGGCCCAACAGCCTGACTGGATATTCTGAGCACTCTCCTCCCTGCTGTCTTTCTTTAGCCATGGGCAATAAAGGTGGGGGATTGATGATCCCACACTTAGGGTGCTAAAATACATGCTAAAGTCCTGAGGGTTTTAAATCTCAGATGGTTAGGCAGTCAAGGCCTGAGGGACTGTGGTCACATTGGCACTGTGGGTAACATTGGTTAATTTATTTGTACGTGATATTTGGGAATGGAAAAAGAGCAAAACTGATGCCCAAAACACTGGTCCTGGCCCACCTCAGCCACCCCAACAAGAGCTTCTGGGAAGTTTAGAGGGCAGGAACCCACCCCCAAGGTCAAGGGGAGTCCAGAGCACAGAGCTCCAGGTGCAAGCCTTCTGGTGGGGCTCCACCAGCCAGTTCAGGATTTTCCATTGTGTTAACCCTGAAGGGAACTGCCCAGTGGCAGTGTGATATCCCTGGAATGCAGGGGACCTGAGAAAGCTGTGGCAGAAATGAGCCTCACTCACCCTGGGCGGAGACTAGTCTTTAGGGTCTTTCTCAACAACCCTGTATCCTGGCAGTTTGAATAATATTTTGGGAGCCCGTACAACTCAGGAATTGCAAGTAGTCTGGGAAAAGGTAAAAGAGCTTTTAGACAGAGCTAACATGAATGTCTCCTCAGAGAAGGTGCAAATAACCCCCCTCTTTCTACAATTTTAGGGACAGAATTATGTTTTGAAAAGGCCTCCCCCTTGAAATCCCAGCTAAGCGTTAAGGAACAATATTCACCAGTAGAATTTCAAAAGCTTCTTGGAGAGGTCATTGGCTATGCCCTTGACTACCCATGTCTACAGGGCAATTACTGCCATTATTTGAAAAGGCAAAATGCTAGGAGACGAGTTTCCCTCATGTACAAGCCTTACAGGAGACTCAAAAGGCCCTAGGCAAGGCTACTTGTTCATTATTGCCCTAAGAAAGAGTTACAACTGTGGACATTTTCAAATTCTCCCGTGCTTATAGCTACCCTTGTCCGGGAGGATAGTCCCTTCCAGTGGGTACATTTATGCATTGGAGGGGCGCCCGGAGTTTATATTTGTCTTGATCAACTGGCAGATCTAATTCAGGATGTCAAAGAGCTAGCCCTTAGGTGTTAAGACTTTGAGACAGCAAAGCCTGTTGCCCCTGATTGAATGAGTAATTATGAATGAGTTTGAAGAAAGAGCAACAGGCTGGCAAGCCTCCCTTGTAGATTATCTCGGCACGATTGACTGCCATTATGGGCCATAGAAGTGAGTCACCTTCTTCAATCTCTTGGAATGGGAGAATCCTGCCTTGTACCATCAAATCATGAAGATGGAGGAAGAGAAGGGGCTACAGCAGAGGTTTTTCTATCTGATCATGTCTATAAGACCTATTTTGACCTACCCATGTCAAGGATCAACACAGTGTTAGGAAGTATTTGCTGTAGTTTTAGGAAAACTCTCTCAAACGTGAAAGATTTTTTTTTTTTTAATCTCTTCTCTGATAGCCTTTATGTTGTACATTTGCTCCCAGAATTAGCTCAGGCATACATAAGATTGAATGATAATCCTATCATCCCTCATGATCCAGGCCCAAACTTTGCTGCAAGGACAGACCCATCCTCCTCTCTCTGAAGGTCTCCATTTGCTCTCCTCATGGGATAGTACACAGAGATGTCCTCTCCATTGTAACCATTTTAACCTTTGTTCTAACCTGCTTTTCCAGTTTTTCTTGACTTAACCACACTGTCACCCTCAGTATCTAAATTTCTCTAACTTTACCTCATAGCCCTCACCCCAAGCTGAGAGTGGCAGACTAAGAAATAAGTGATTTAACATCCATAAGAAGCCGAAAAAAAAAAAAAAGAAAAGGAAACATATTCTGCAACTTGAATTAAGTGTTTTATATATATATATATATGTATTTATATATGTGCTTATATATGCGATCTGATATAGACTGGTCCAAATCCACTGTTAATTTAACTCAAAGCATGAGATGAACCTATGACTTGCTTTATAAAACATTTCCAGGTTAAAATATGTCAAAGAAGAATTTGGAAGGTGCAAAATGTTTGAGAGTTAAATGTCTTTCTGTTCTGATGTGTTGGGATTGTGCATATGTTTATTTATTCGTTATTGTTGGTGTTCTATTTTAGTCTGGAGAAAAACTAGACTTTGTTTTAATACTCTTTTTCCAGTTACATATTTGTCTTGAATTGTTAAGTTATTGTCCTTGTTGAGAATTGGGTGCGTGTATGCCTGAATGACAGACGAGATGGGATGCATCATGACTAACCCCTTTTTCTGTCGCCTGATAAAAAATTTTAATGAGGTCTAACCTATCTAACAGGACTTGGCCAGACCAGACTCACCTTCTCCTCTGAGGAAAAGTTCATATACTGTTTTCTTGCTGCTTAGTCTTCAATTTACAGTGTTGTCCTGGCACTGATCAGGTCTAAAATACAGTATCCGTTAACATGTTCAGTTAAATGTCAAATGTACTTTTTCTTTAACTAATTTACACTTCTAAATTCTTCAGAGTTTGAAACCAGGTCTCAAGACTTTGAAAGTTGTAGGATCCCTAGAACTCTCAAAGATTGAGACAGAATTTGGATAATATAATTGTCATTTAAAATAATTTGGATTATAATCTCACAATATTATAAAATTATGTTAAATTTGTTGCATCCTATAAGCTATTAAAGTAAATGAGCTTTTATGTTCATTGGTCAAAATGTTTCCTAATCATGAAATTGGCCCTGATTGTAAATTATTTGTGTTCTTATTTACAAAGAAGTATGTGAGATTTTGCCTTACAGGAAAACAACTAATTCTTTTGAAATGTATAGTGTAATTGGTTGTCACATGTATAATTTCTGAATTTTGCCTTTAAGAAAATGGAATTGAAATCTGATTCGTATTGAAGAACAACAGTATTTTAACATCACCTTTACACTAATTTTCATCTTATTGATAACTAATAAATTCATAGGTACTCTCTTAAGACAACAGCCAAATTGAAGTTTTTCGCCTCTCTTGACTTCAAATAAACAGAAGCTAAGTAGAAGCTCCAGGCCTACCAGCCATGGAAAAGGAGGAGCATGCTAGGAGTCTGCCCTTTGTAAGGAATTTAGAATGCTGGATTCCTTCAGGTCCCCACTGTGATTTTGATCTGCCTTCTTTTGAGGAGGGAGGATTCCCAAATCAGCTACAATAAGGTTATTTGAAAAACTTCTCGTTCCCAGTTTTAAGGCAGGTTGTGTTAAAATGTGTTTCCACAAATTGAAAGAAATGCTTAAAAATTGCTTAAAGCAATTGCAATTAAATTTGGTATGCTTTTATTTAGAGAATGTTTCCATTTGGAGCCTTATATGATAATTTCAAAATGTAAATCAAGAAAATTAGCAGATTATTAAGGAAGAGAATAGCTTGTAGAACATTTTGTCCTACAGAAGTATGGCTACCATGCAATGGAAAGAAAATGGAAAGAAAAAGCTAGGGTAAAATACTTAAAGGCTTCATCTTGTTAAAAAATGAGCCTTGTAAGTTTTACTTATATAACTGTCTATACTTTTTAAGATACAACTGCAACTGTTTAAATATTTGACATTAATATCTAGTGTATGCTGACATTAGAATTGAGTGTGCATACATAGAAATGCTAGTAAATATCTGAAAAATGTCAGAGGAGGGTTCTGGTGTGATGGCTTAGCAGTTAGAGTCTGGTGCAGTAGCCTGGTGACTGAAGTCCTCACTATAAACATGACAGGATGAATATGGACATCATTTCTAATACTGGCAGCTCTGTTTCCGATCCAGCTCACAGCTTGTGGCCTGGGAAAGCAGTAGAGACAGGCCAAGGTGTTGAGACCCTGCACCCATGTGGGAGACCAGGAAGATGCTCCTAACCTTGGACTGGCTCAGCACCAGTCATTGCAGTGCAAGAGTGTGATCTCTTTGCCCCAGAGCCCCACAATTCTCAGACTCACTAAACTCTTGGTATGTCTGACCCTTTCTTTCTTGTAAGTTGTACATCTGAAATTCTTCATTCTCATCCTTTCTTCTGACTACTGAGATGGAAAAACTAAGTCAGTGAAGTTATCAATAATTTTGTGATTAATGTTTTAGAAAACAAAAGGGCTTTCAAGACAAGGAAAACTGTATGGAGATTTTTTTTTCATGAAAAATCTCTGGTTTTCATTCATTTCTCCTCACGTTGGAACAGCTGTTTATTTAAAAGACAAAGAAAGACACATAGAGAGATTGACACATCGGTTGAGGCAGAGAACATGGATGGCAGAAGGAGGTGTGGAAGTTCACTGTTTAAGTGACCTTGATAGCAAGCAATCTATTCTCAGATGAGAAAGCTTTATCCAGGTCTCCCAGGAGGGTGGTAAGACCTGAATCACTTGTCTCATCACCAAGCAACACTAAGTTCTATATTAAAATATGGTAGAGTCAGAGAGAGGCTTATACTCAGGTACTCTGCCATGGGAAACAGCTGTATTAAATAGCATCTTCACTGCAAGGAAAACTGACTTCCTCTCTATAAAGTTTTTGCATATAGCCTAAGTAACTTTATCACATTTTGTTTTGTAGATCAGCCCCCAATGAGCCTAAAATGTAATCATGTTTCTAGAGGCTCTATTCGTTTTGTGTTGAGTGTGACCCAAGCATGCAATTGCACCTCTCACAGCTTGACCATCCTCATCAACCCTCACCCTCCTTGGGCTTCCTAGTGGGCCTGGAGAGACAACTCCTGAAATTATTGTTCTTACGAAAGATTTGTGTAGAGTGCTCTTCTGAGATGCTTGATGAAACCCTGCTTTCCTGCCCTTCTTTAAGGCAGTTGTGTTTAGTAAACTTGCTGTTCCTGATGATTCCTTCACACATTATGTGAAGGCCTGTTTGGTTTTCGCTTTAATGACAAAGTAATATTTTTGCTTTGAAACTCACTATTCAGTTTAGTTATCCTTTGGGATTCCTAAGTGTTTTCAGGTGCATGGCATTCTATAATGTATCAACAAACATGGGAACTATCTGAGGTGTTTCAATACTGAAGGCAAAGGCAGTGTCTGTATTTCTCGTGTATTTGGGGCTATTTTCCTCCAGAAGTTATCCACTTTCTCTGCACAGGTGAGGAAGAGGTGAAATCAGATGATTGTTCAAAAAGAAAGATGGTGATAAAAGCTGAAAATGATAGTATTCATTCAGAGAATATTTGATTTGGGGATTGGATGAGCTGGTGCCTATATCAATTTGCTTGAATCCAAGTGTACTGTCATCCACTTCTCCATAGCTACTCTTCCTGATCTGTAAATATGCCTACATATATTTTAGATATTATATACTCATTATTGTGAGTTTAATTTTTCTAATACTGCTGTTACAATTTACCACGCTCTCATTGCTGAATGGCAATGCAAAAACAAACAAACAAACAAACAAACAAACAAAAAATGCTTAGAATTCCTTGGACAGGCTTTGTGTGTTTCATCAGAAAATGCTGAATGAATTTCTCAGAAAACTTGGAGTAGTTCTTAATGACCCAACTTGTGCCAAGTTTTAGAAGTATTTGTAATCTACTGAACACATAAAAACTCATGGTGCATTGCTTAGGAAATAGAAAATAAATAACTCCAAACACTAGCAAGACTACCTATGTATTGCCCAGAGAAAGAGGATGTAGTTTTGTCTTCAAAGATGAGGACATGAGTTTAACGTGCAATTCTGTTTAAAGTATGAATGAGCACAGAGGGAAACTTAAGTCATTGCTTACTTGATAAATTCTGATGATTAAACCCAAAGTCTCAAGGCTGGTGGTTTTTCACTCTCTCTTAAGATTCTATGTTTGTTCATAGGAAGATTTCCAGAGAGAAGGAGAGACAAACATCCTCAATCCACTGGGTCATTCCCCAAGTGACAGCAACAGCCAGAGCCAAGCTGCTCTGAAGCCCAAATTAGGAGCCTCCTCAAGGTCTCCCATGTGAGGGCAGGGTCCTGAGGCTTTGGGCCATCCTCCAATGCTTTTCCAGCCATAAGCAGGGAACTGGATAGGAAGTGGAACAACATGGAAATGAATTGGCTTCCATATGGACCCTGGAGTGTGCAAGGTGAGGATTCAGCCACTAGGCCCTTGGAGAGTTTCTCTGCTTTAAATCAATTCCCTAAATACTTCACATTCCTATACTTCACATTCCTCATCTTTTAAATGAGTGTATTTAATAAAGATTCATAGGGTTGTTGGAAGGTTTCAATGTCTGTGTGATGTTAAACCTTACCAAAAGAGTCTGAAACACTATGAAAACAAAACAAGAAGTAGTGATAATTTGGCTTGTCTGATTTGCAGTTTATGATCACGTCAACTATTATGAAAGATCATGACAGGAAGAAAAGAGTGAATATTTGGTGTCCTTTCTTTTTGTGCTTTTAAGGGACTTAACAGGATTATTCTTTTTTTTATTTTTATTGTAATTAATGTTTTTTAGTGAATGGGATCAAAGAGCTACTCACCTTCTGCTATCTGGTGTGTTTTATTTTGCAGGTCATCTGAGCAAGCTTGACTAGAAACTGACAAAAAGGATTGATAAATATTTCAAAGCTTTGCAAACTCTTAGCAGAAAAGATTTTCCAATCAGAGAGTAGTGATTCTAACCTGTGATCCAGAAGTGACATGAAAACATCTATCGGGGGTCCTCTCATCCCGCGGAAGAAATCACCCGACACTTGAGAGTCTCCAAGGCGCCTTTATTCTGATCTTCCGTTCCGTCTGTTAACTCCATTGTGACCCTTATGACCGTTATGCTCCAGCCCCTCCCCGCCAAGCCCCCTGCTTATCTGTCAAACTTGACCAATCAACTTAAAGAGAACCAAGGCACACCAATCAGGGCAAAGGGCCAATCACAGGGCAGGAAATGGTCAGTGCCCCCAACAGCTCCCCCTTCTTGTTTTATTAAGCAAGGGACCGTGCCTGTCTTAGGTGTTCCGAGTTCAGGCTCCCCTTACCCATCATGGGCTAACCACGTGGCTAGGAATGTGGCACCTGTCTTAGGTTGGTGAAGCCCTATCGGATACTTACCCGTCTCTGGCTACCGGTCCAGCATGCCTAGCCATAGTTTTAGTGATTATCTGTTGTGAAGGGCAAGCCCAGCTTGCACTAGCAGCTGCTGTTACGGCTGCTGATGCTGTGCTCAAGGATGAAGCATCCACAGACCCCAAAGAATGATATAAGGCCCAGGGCTACTATACTAGCCCATTGGTGTGCAAAGGAAAGATGCTTTAGTATGCAATTTGTCCATTGCTTTACTGTGGCAATCTCTACTTTTATGCTATTTATGGCTATAATTTGGGATCTTAGTTCCTATGTCAAATTATCGAATCGTATGGACCAGCTTCCACTAGGGGATAGCATAGCGGATAACTCTCTGGACAAATTCAGTGCTCGGGAACCATTGGTGACAATGGAGGGAGTGACACACATTCCAGGTAGACTAAGCACACAAGAGGTCCCCATATGATGGAAATAAGTTGTGGAATGCATACCAGCACCACAGTGCCAGAACCATTCCAACACTGGTTAAGGCCTCACTTAACTACAGAGCAATTCAAAAGGGTAACATTAGCACTCATGGAAACAATAAAAATAAATTGAGCTTGTACACATACATAAATAGCATTATAGATAACATAACAACTGCAATTAACTTTAACATTTTCTTCCCATATTCTAGAACTATTACTATGATGCTTACAATTTCTTATCACTACCTTATCAATAAATGCAAAAGCTGATATATCTGAACACCCACCCCTACTAGTGCAAAGTACCCAGACATTCCAATAATTAGCAAAAACAGATTGAACAAGGTTACCATGTGTATAGTTATACCCCACAAAGGCAGAATTTGAACAGGTAGGAAATCAATTGGTCACAGCAAGATCAGGTGCTACTCTTTTAGGAGTCACAGTACGTCAACAGCAGTCCATTCTGGGGGCCATTTCCAAGGCCCTAGACAGCGAGTCAATATTTGCTGCACCCCTTTTATGGTGCAGTTTTATCTGGAGATTCTGGCTGTCTCCTCTTGGTATCTGAATGAACATCAGGCTGGTCAGCATCCACCACGTCCACAGGTTCATCTTGCTCCAGCTTTCTTATCACTCGCGTCAAACATTCTGGCACCCACACTGGTCCATCAGAATCCTGCGGAAAAACACAAACTGCTCCTCGCGTCCGTCGTAAGACAGGATGTGGGCCCATCCATTGTTTTGTTAAAACATCCTTCCACATCACCCAATCTTTGCAGGGGCCTGCGCCAACAGTGTGGCATTCGGCAGCAGAATGGCCATCCAAATCCAGAATCAAAACGTTAAAAATATAAGTAACTAAAGCCAATTGATGTTTAGGACTTTTGGGAAATAGGGTCGCTCCTACTCCCCCTTTTTGTTTTATTAATAATGCTTTGAGATTTGCATGGGCACGCTCTACCACAGCCTGGCCTGTGGGATTATATGGGATGCCAGTGGAGTGTTTAATCGCAAATTCAGAACAAAACTTATCAAATGCTTTGGCTGCATAGGCAGGTCCATTATCAGTCTTATGACACTGGGGGACTCCCCAGGCTGCAAAAGCCTTAAGGCAATGAGATATACAAAAATATTGTCGGATCCAATTAATATACCCCAGTACCTGTTGGAAATCATTAAGGGTCTTTAAACCATCTATTCTGATTTTTTTTTTTTTTTTGCGTTTCCATAAGACTTTCTCACCTTCCTGTATATGTCCTCTGAATTTATCAGTGCCTTCTGTCAGGCAAGACTTAATCAATGTCCAGAACCTGACCATTCCTGGAAGGATGGGCTCCTGCTGTTTCGCCCTAGCTAAGTCTCTGCCTAAGTGTTCCCATTGTGGCAGGATCAAAAGGCCCTCCTCCAGAAACCATAGGGTCATCCTTGGCACCATTTGCAAAAACAATAGTACCATCAGCAGTTTCTGTAATAAAGGCTGTATGTGCGCTGAAAAAGTTAAATTGGCCATATTTCTAACACCGCTGATGGTCGCT